GTCCCCTTCCCCTACTTTACTCTCTCCTGCCTTCTCCCCACCCCCATCTCCTTTCCCAATGTAGGATAGAAAGATTACATTGGTAAAACAGGGTATTTTCCACCATTGGGTAAAGCTTGTCTAAGAGTGTGTCAATTAAAGCATGGTGAGTTTAGCTATAAACACAATATTAGAAACACTGACTATTAAAGCTAAGCAAAGATCAAAGAACAATTATTCCAAGAAGTTTCCACAAAGAAGCACCAAAGTGAGGATTAAAGATCAGTCCTTCTAAACAACAAAACATAAGTGAAATCAGTAGCAAGCATAAGACTTGTGAAACTGGTTTACCTCTTTCTTAAAAGTGTGAGGTTCAAGGAAGAAAGTATGTTTTATGTGGTCAGTGGTGTGTGAAGAAGCGTGGGGTTCTGCCTGGGGTGGGGTGGAAAAGCAGATGTGTTTGTGTGGAAAGAAGGGCAGAGAGAAACAGAGATAGACAAAAAGACAGTGACAAATAATCTGCTCCTTTAAAACCCCACAAGCGAATAGAGATGCTGAGTATCTGGGTCCTGGGATACAGAGATGATGACACTCCCAGGAGCAACAAGCCTAGTGGGGCACACAAACCTATAAACAGATGAATCTCCGAGTAAAATCTGATGGTAATATAGAGGGCAGAATGTCAACAGCTGCAGGTGAGGCCAACTTTGGTGAGTAGGTGACATTGGGGTTGGGTTTTGAAGATTGACCAGGAGTTATTCAGACAAAGAAGAAGAAGGTGCCTTTCTGAATGGACAGATAGCTGTGCAGAGGAACAGGGCCTTCAAAGGGCATGGAAGAGCCCAGCATCCTGAGGAGGCCAGGGTGCCTATGTGTGAGGGCAGCTGAGGATGGAGCTGGAAGGAAGCAAGGAGCCTGGGTATGGTAACCCTTTAGAGTTTGAAGCATTAGGCAAAAGGGAACCAAAATGTATTTTCTATGTCAGGGAGTGGTTTGATGTATAGAAATACAAGTCTGGGTGGGCTAGAAAAGGTCAATCGGGGGAAAAGGGGGACATATGTAATACTTTCCACAATAAAAGATTAAAAATTAAAAAAATAAATACAAGTCTGGGGAAGTATAAAGGAAAGGTCTGAGTGGAGAGGGTCTGGGGGCAGGGAAACCAGCTGGAGGGTGTCACAGTTAAGTACTAAGGCAGTGGCAGTGACACCAGAATTCAGAGACGGTTAAGGAGGAATTGCAGGATTTATAATTAAACATGGGCAGGGAAAGAAAGAAGAGTCAAGGATGGCCTCAAAGCTACTGGCTTTGGAAAGGGTGAAAAGTTGCTCTGAGTGTAGAATACAGGAACAAAATGTAGGTGCTAGGAAAACAAAAGGTGAGCATCACGGTCCTCAGGAGGATGAGGGTTGAGGATATCCAGAGAAAGCACGTGAGTGAGGAGGTTGAGAAAGGAATGCTGGGAACATCATCACATGGGACAATGATTCTTAACAAGGGAGGCGGCACCGAGGAAAGGAAGGAAGGTCCCCCGAACTGTATCTTGGCTCTCTGGCTGGCTCTGCTTGGCTGCTCTGCTTGGGGACAAGGTGGGTTTTGGTGACAGGGCATACTTTTTAGGAAAGGCAGGCTTGTGGAATTCTCCTTTTCCATCTGCATTGCCTGGTAACTATGTTTGCACCTTTACTGTGGAGATAAGGTGGCAGATGGTTCATTACTGCCACCCTAGAAAGGTGTTCCTGTCAAACCTTGATCCATTGTGCGGGCAGGCCAGTGGCTTTAACACTGGCAGTTAGAAGGAGATAAAATCAGCTATCTCTGTGTTTCTGAGTAGAGAGTGGAGGGGTGGTGACACTGAGGTCAGCCTATCTGGCATTCCTTCTGGCCGTGTGGTCTTAACTTGGCTTTCTGGTCACCTGTGTTTTCTATTCCCTGCCCCAAATTACTATGCTACCTCATAACCACTACTTTGTATTACCTAGATGCTCTCCTCTCCTACACTCCAGTAAATGGACTCTAGAAATTTTGCCTGTGTTGCCAAAAGGAACAGATGTTTTTTGTCTTTACCTTAACTAAACTTCAGCTGGCCACCTACTTGTTACTGAATGTCTATCCCTTTGGCTTCTGTGGTATTATTTCCTCCTGTTGTCTGCTGCTCCTTTTTTTTTTTTTTTTTTTTTA